ATAGAGTACCAAGGAAATGTTATGAGAGAACCAGGAGGGATGTGGTGAAATTGGTTTTAACGTCGCGTCCAAGATTATTGCGCTTATATAGCGACGTGCATGCACGTGTGTGTGTTTGGCTGCTTGTACTAGTCCGGACTGATGCCGATTTATAGTGTTAGCACACTGAGATACCATGCCGCAGTTTAACATGAAAACCCCACTCAGACACAGTATACTGACTCCGAGCCGACCAGTCCTTGTTTTAGCTCTTTAATGCCGAGCGTAAAAAAGTCTACTTCTAAACTTGACTCCCGTTTGGAATGATTAGTGCGTATCAAATCAAATTTTGTTTTGTTTGTTTGTTAGATTAACGCCGCACTCAGCAATATTCCAGCAAAATGACGGCGGTTTGTAAATAATCGAGTCTGGACCAGACAATCCAGTGATTGATATCATGAGCATCGATCCACACAATTGAGATCGATGACATGCATCAATCAAGTCAGCGAGCTTGACCAACCGATCCCGTTAGTCACCTCTTACAACAAGCATAGTCACCTTTTACGGCAAGCATGGGTTGCTGAAGACCTATTCTACCCCGGATCTTCACAGGTCTCAAATTTTGAATGTATCAGCAAGAGTGGAAACATTAACAGACGCGGAGAGCAGCATCTTGGATGCTTTCAAGGAAATGCCGCTCTTAATACGAATAAATCAACTGAACACAACCTTACAAAAAGAGGTTTGCATGAATTTCGTGTCGCATCAGTCCCGTTTAGATGTAGTTTCCATTAACTACTTTACTAGGTAGCTATAGTAAATAGGTGAGGAACTCATGTGATACACGGTGGGAGTAACACGCAGTTATATACTAGGGAGCAGTAGTAACCGCATATTGGTAAGGAACTCATGCGATACACGGTGGGAGTAACACGCAGTTATATACTAGGGAGCAGTAGTAACCGCATATTGGCGAGGAAGTCATGTGATACACGGTGGGAGTAACACGCAGTTATATACTAGGGAGCAGTAGTAACCGCATATAGGTTAGGAAGTCATGTGACACACGGTGGGAGTAACACGCAGTTATATACTTGGGAGCAGTAGTAACCGCATATAGGAGAGGAAGTCATGTGATACACGGTGGGAGTAACACGCAATTATATACTAGGGAGCAGTAGTAACCGCATATTGGCGAGGAAGTCATGTGATACACGGTGGGAGTAACACGCAGTTATATACTAGGGAGCAGTAGTAACCGCATATTGGCGAGGAAGTCATGTGATACACGATTGGAGTAATACGCAGTTATATACTAGGGAGCAGTAGTAACCGCATATTGGTGAGGAAATCATGTGGTACACGGTGGGAGTAACACGCAGTTATATATTAGGGAGCAGTAGTAACCGCATATAGGTGAGGAAGTCACATGACAGCAGATGAGGGACATTGTATTGTTCTCTCACGACAGCAGTATCGAAGACCGAGCTGGCACGGTGACACAGATATCTGCTGTCATGCGTTGACCTCGTTTACACAACACGCACATAGGGACCGACAATTTGATTCGGGGGGCCTGGGAAACAGTTAAGTAATATCTTTTTTTGCAGCGTCCCCTTCCCTTGAAATATAAAAATGGTCGGTCTCTTTAACACACTCAGAGCCAATTGCAATCGTGATGAAACTTGATGGTATTGGACTAACCGAGATTATGTTATTATGAAACACTTTTTTGTGGTCAGAATTTTAATATTAACATATTATGTATAAGCTGACTAGTGCTGACACCTAAACCGTTGGCGCAAATTTTGGTATAGGCTGTTGTATTGTGTAATGTTACCGTTTGGATTCACATCAGCTCCAAGCGGCCTCGAGTTATTCTTTTCTTTAGGAGACGTGTTCTATGATGAATTTAGCGTGATGCGCCAAGGAAACCAAGAGTTTTGTAGGTAGTTGAGTGCATTAAATGGTGTAACTACACAAACGTAGAACCCGTGAACATCCGAGTCAGAATTGGTGTTCAGCAACCCATGCGAATATGCTTGTTGTAAGAGGCAACTAACGGGATCGGGTGGCCAGACTCGCTTACTTGTTTGATGCTCATGTTGTCAATCACTGGATTGTCGGGTTCAGATTATTTACAGACCGCCGTCATATAGCTTGAATATTGCTGAGTTCGGCATTAAACAACACACAACAACAACACAACACAAACGTACAAGAACGGTTTACACCGATTCACCTTTCCCAATAATCTCCATGATAAGTTTTACATTAATGGGGCCAGTACACGGGATGGCGACCTTTGAGCCTCCCGTGTGCGACCATAAAATTTGCCAGGTCGTCGTTGGAGGCTCAAAGGAGGCAGAATGGTTGCCTTGGTCCTTCCAAGGTGTTACACAGGAGGTTCAGACACCGCCATGGACGCCGTGAATTTTGAACATGTTCAAGACAGTCGCACAAAGTCGCCGAGTAGGTTGGTTGCTCAAAGGTGGCTCAAAGGAGGCAGAAGCATTGCGGTGTTGCAGAATGAAGGCACAGTAGTCGCCCAATGGTCGCCAGGTAATAGATGCGTTCTGCTGAAATAATTTCCCGACAATCTGGGCGATGATTGTGCCTCCCTTGTGCCTCCTTTGGGCGACCAACAGCATGCACTGAACGATAACTGTGGCAACCGCCGTGCCTTCATTCAGCGACCACGGCAACCCTTGAGACACAATGGCAATGCTTCCGCCTCTTTTCTGCCTCCTTTGAGCTACCTGTAGTGCCTCCTCACCCTGCCTATAAATATAGAGCTTGTACCTGCAGTGTTTCATTGTGGTTGTAGAAGCTGAGCAACTCGAGCAGTTACTGCTGAACAACTGCTGGAGCAGTTACATAGAAACATGATGTTATGGGTTTAGGAGACCATTGAACGTCCTGGCCAGTTTTTGATCGCCCAAGGGTGGCCCAAAGGTCGCAGCCCTGTGTAAAGGGGTCTTAATGAAGATAGAGGTGTCCGAAGAACCAGGGTCCCACTGTATGTGCTGCAACAACAACAAAACACTGTTGGCAGGAACATACTTTTTTATTCATAAACTTCCTGATAAAAGAGACTGATCTTGTTTAATACAGTTCATATACATATACATAACATACAAATTGTTTCTAGTTACAACGTACTCAAGCAAACTGAGAAAAAGCTTTGCCTATACTACGGTGATTCGGCATGGAAATTTCGCACAGTTACGCTTATCAACAACAGTACGGTACAAGAAAGTTTATGTATTGTGTTTAACTTGTTTCGGTTTAAAGTGTCGAACATACTTGGAAGAAGCGTCTATTATGACAAAAATTTAGACCCATTCGCCACCAAAACTTCGCTTCGGAAGTGACGTCACAATCCCCATCTCTCTTATCACCAAGCACAGGTGTTTTCTCGCAAATGTGAGTAATCTGATTGGACGGCTAAAATTTGCGATGTGTCTTTCGACAATGGTTCCAAACGAAGCTATTTGGATTGCAAATGGATCTTCACGGGGTATCAGACTATTCAGGGATTGACATCATGAGCATCGATCCTTGCAATTGGGATACGATGACTTGCAACAACCAAGACCTGATGACTCGATCCCGTTAGTCGCCTCTTCCGACAAGCATGGGTTGCTAAGGTCCAATTCTAACCCGGATCATCAAGGGTTACCAGACGACTGACAAGATACGATTACCAACATTAAATTTCAGGATTCCTCAGCATAACACGGTAGAGTGCAGCAGATGTCTTTGCAGATCAAGCACAGCACCACGAGAAGCAGTTATACACACAAAACATGTCTACCTGGAGAAGCAAGGACCACATGTCACATACTCAAAAGAAGTTAAACAAGAGCTTGCCACTAACGTGGCTATATCCCCCGCCCCTGTTGCAGAATTTATGACATAATTAAATCTAAACAAACCCTAACCTTTTCTAACCGAGGTGGAACTTGTCATGGAAACTGTAAAAAAATGAAGAGTTTGGAACCTAAGTTCATCTTGTTGCCATGGAAACGTAAAAAAATTCTAAATAGCAAAAGGCACCAGTTCAGCATGTACCTAACAGACCTGCAAAGTTTGATGAAAAAATATTGAACGGTTTATGAGTTATACTCCGGAAACGAACCCTACCCTCACAGAACCTAAGTCCATCTTGTTGCCATGGAAACGTAAAAAATAAAAATTTCTAAAATTTCTAAATAGCAAAAGGCACCAGTTCAGCATGTACTTCACAGACCTGCAAAGTTTCATGAAAAAATATTGAACGGTTTCTGAGTTATGCTCCGGAAACGGAAACGTGACGGACGGACGGGGCCCGTTTCTATATCCCCCGAATCGTTCATATTACCATAGTTAATCTGTCATACCATCTTTAACTTCTTTTGAGCAGTAATCCACTGACTGAAAAACCAATGTGCATTCAGTGTCGCACAACATTATTTTCACATATATTCGGAGGCCAATCTTCATCAGTTTTGGTGCACAGACGTTATTTATTTTTATACACTGAATGACTAGAGGACAGAGGATTGTAGCAGAATGGTGGCATACTCGTGATCCAAGCATCGTCGGTGGCATGATCTTCCACTACAAAAGAACACTGTATTTAGGAGAAGGTAACTTGGTTGAAGACAAACTTCACACAATTACATAAACCAGTCAGGCACACAAACTAAACAACGTGTTGCTTATCAATTGAATAAACAAATAACAGGTTGGAATAAAATGGATTCTTGAGGTCCTACAGAAGTTAATCCTTGGTCAATGATGTTAAATAGGGTTTCGACTGTAGCTCAGGAAAAACGGATGTAAATCTAGTCTATCTATAACAAAAAAAGTGTAACGATTTGAACGTATTTGTCCCAAAGTTCATTCTTGGATGATATGCGAGAGAGATTATCATGACTCTGTTTCAATTGTTGAAATACTGTTGAGCGGACAGGCAGGTGTATTCTGCTCCTGCATAACATTCTTTAACATCCCATGTGGGGAATCGAACCGGGTCTTCGGCATGACAAGCAAACGCCTTACCCACTAGGCTACCCAATGGCGCCCATAGCGGAAGGTTCTCAACATACAATTCACATATATATATACACGTCATGCCTACATCATGTACTTCTCATTGGGTAGGTAAAGGATCTTATACAAATAAGATCTGTATCATATAATTCATGATAGGGTTTATAATATCGTTTGTTTATTATCCATGTATTTGTCAGGGTTAGAATAGGAGTGAGAATATTAGGATTTACGCAGCTTTTAGCAATATTCAAGCAAGATCACGGCGGGGGACACCAGAAGTGGGTTTTACACATTGCACCCTTGTGGGAATCCAACCCGGCCTTCGGCGTGACGAGCGAACGCTTTAACCACTAACTAGGCTCTCCACCACCCCGATAAGTATCCGAAATCGTTACTCAATCAAATATACAAATCGACCATTCGTGACCCCTCGTGACATTCCATACGATACCCAGGATGGTGGAGAGCTAGAACGCCTCCTTCCACAAAGGCATCCAACTTCTACGAGCGATGTACTTAAGGTACTTATAACAGTAGTTCGTTTTGTGGAAAGAGATCCACTTTAATGTTAATCAAATTCTATCAAGAAACGAGTTTTCCAGTTTGTTCCGCATTGTGAACATCAAGAATCAGTTCTAATGACTAATTAGGTTTATGTGCACAGATAACATACAGCACTTCAACGAATTATCCTTCCACAGCTAAGATTCCTCAAAAAGAGCTTTTGATGATTCTTTAATTTCATTGAATTGTCTCTGCGTGTGTTTCTGGATTGTCTCGATGGAGCCGGGAAGCTTTCGGAGCTTGTTGATGTTGGCCACGCACATCTTCATTGCTTCTGGTTCATCAGTGCTGCTGATGTTGGACTTGGAGATCTCTCTCCTCAAGCTCTGTTCATCGTCCAGCACCACCTGGATGGTGTTCTTCACCTTTGGAGCCTTTTCCAGAATACTTCTGGTGAGTTTGTTTGCTTTGTTGAAGAGTTCTAGAGCTTCCAGTGTGTCCTCAGCCGGCCCTTTACACATCCGGGACACCTCGAGGCGATCATACTCTATCGTGATGCTAAACCGGGTGCGAGACGCGGACAGGGCAGCGCTACCTGGAGGTAGATATATATCTATGTATTATTGTTCCTGTTTGTTGTTTAACGCCGCATTCAGCAATATTCCAGCTGTATGACGGCGGTCTGTAAATAATCGAGTCTGGAGCAGACAATCCAGGGATTGACGTCATGAGCATCGATCCACGCAATTGGGATAAGATGACATGCATCCACCAAGTCAGCGAGCCTGACCAACCGACCCCGTTAGTCGCCTCCTACGACAAGCATAGTCACCTTTTACGGCAAGCATGGGTTGCTGAAGACCTATTCTACCCCGGATCGTTACGGGTCATCCATGTATTAACACTTCAGCACAATTGAACAAAAAGTCATATATTTCTTCCAAAATATACGTCCATTGTCACAGGTAACAAAGAAACGTCCCTGTATACCACGCCCATGTGCACATACCTGCAATGTGTTGGTGTAAAATACAATGGCGTATCAACCATTACTGATCTTGACAGCAAGATAGCAAACATCAATGTGAAGTTCCCTATTTGTCGGGGCAGAATCTGAAGTAAATATTTTCTCCCGAAGAACAATTAAAAGGTCTAAAACTGTACACAGTATCTCCTGTCTGCACCGTTCTTTTTCAATTTAAAAGTTGACTTCCTGTGTGTGTGTGGTGCTTTTGTGTGTGTGTGTGTGTGTGTGTGTGTGTGTGTGTGTGTGTGTGTGTGTGTGTGTGTGTGTGTGTGTGTGTGCTTTGTGTGTGTGTGTGTGTGGTTGGTAACAAGAAGTATTTCTGTATGACGCGCGTGGGGAACCATCGAACTTCCGCTCTCCGGACAGTGTACAATATATGGACTATAGCTATTATTATCATTATCATCATCATCACAACCACTACTACTACTCACCACCACCACCACCACCACCACTACCACTACTACTACTACTACTATTATTTTATTATTATTATTATCCACATGAGCTAAACTTCCAGGTTATCATAATATCTTTCCTGACCAGACATCCGTCAACAACTTACCGCAGCGTTTCCTCAGCAGCTTCATACATTCAGACAAGACAGGGATGCCTCTCGTCTCATACTCAAATACAGCTTTGAAGTCGTGCATAGTGTTCTTGAGCGAGTTGAAGCTCTCGAGCAGGTCGTTGTACAGCTTGCTGTGGTCCTGGAATGTCAGAGTAGAGTAATCGTGTGCATGATGCCACAAAAGAAATTTAAGTAGTGTACTTGAGAACAATTTCTAACACACCTGTGGGCTAGAAACCTATTTGAGATACTGGTATGAAGCATATGTGTGAGATCAATTTCCAGGTCGGTGATTGGCTACTCAAAGGTGATGACCTGAGGTCAGATTATGACGGACCAGTCTGATTGCACTTCTTTGATAAGTTGCACGTGCACGTACTTCAGTCGAATTCACCTACGTCTGTGTAATAAAAGTTCTTGATCTTATATGGTTTGCATTATCATAATCGTCTGGATAATCCACAGAAATGATTGAAACTTATTTGTGGAGGGTCCTACTAGATATGAGTAGTAGGTTGGTTGGTTGATTTGTTGTTTAACGCTGCACTCAGCAATATTCCAGCTATATGACGGCGGTCTGTAAATAATCGAGTCTGGACCAGACAATCCAGTGATTAATATCATGAGCATCGATCCGCGCAATTGAGATCGATGACATGCATTAACCAAGTCGGCGAGCCTGACCACCCGATCCCGTTAGTCGCCTTGTACGACAAGCATAGTCACCTTTTACGGCAAGCATGGGTTGCTGAAGACCTATTCTACCCCGGAATCTTCACGGGTCAGATATGAGTAGTAAGCCGGATGAAGGTTTTAATCACCGTTGTGTTATGTATTAATGCGCCACTGTGATCCTGATTGTTTGTTTGTTGTTTCACGCCGCACACAGCAGTATTCCAGCTATATGGTCTGTAAATAATCGAGTCTGGACCAGACAATCCAGTGATTGACATCATGAACATCGATCCACGCAATCGGGATCGATGACATGCATCAACCATGTTAGCGAGCCTGACCACCCGATCCCGTTAGTCGCCTCTTACGACAAGCAGAGTCGCCTTTTACAGCAAGCATGGGTTGCTGAAGACCTATTCTATCCCGGATCTTCACGGGTCGATCCTGAGAATAGACCAAATATACATGGATCCGGTTTGGGTTGACGTAAGAAACAGATTACTTCACTCGTGTGTGTCAAATACTATTTGTCTTACGACTCACTTTCGCTCTTTAGATACGTTTTGACACAACTCATTGTGAGACAAATAGTATCTGACAAGACATTCGTTTAGTGATCTCGATACAGGATCTATATATATCCTCAATAGTTTTCATCTTATTCTGGGGGCGGTCGGGTAGCCTAGTGGTTAAAGCGTTCGCTCGTCACGCCGAAGACCCGGGTTCGAATCCCGACATGGGTACAATGTGTGAAGCCCATTTCTGGTGTCCCCCGCCGTGATATTGCTGGAATATTGCTAAAAGCGGCGTAAAACCTCACTCACTCACTCATCTTATTCTGCAATTGGATTTTTTGGTTTAATCGTTTGGTGTGTGACGCCGTGACGGATTCCAGCTCTATGACAGCCTGTAAATAGTCGAGTCAGAGATGATTGATATTATTCGCAACGATCCACGCCATCAATCTAGTCACCCAGCCTCACCACCTGGTCGCGCCATTCGACCAACATAGGTTGCTTGAGACCAATTGTACCCTGGATCCCTAGGGACTCCTGTTAATGGAGTTTGAGTGAACAAAAGGTAAGATGGTCAGACAACACACTTCGTGGTGATGTGTTCGAACAATTCCTATTCCTAATCCAAACTTTGAGACATGTTATTGTAAGCGAATTATTGTAAACATATCAAGAAACGGACATTCTAAGTTTGCAATAATCCTTTTCAAGCCATGCGAATAAAATATGTTTAAACAAAACAGACACATATTGCAAGATCTTTCCTCGTTAAAATGTAAATATTTTATCATGATATAAAAAACGGAAAGATGTTAAAAGATGGTACTTGTTGTTTCCCTGCTTGGCGCTCGGTATTTGGGGGCTAAAACAAGGACTGGACGGCTCGGAGTCTAAATATTGTGACATGAGTGGGATATTCATGTTAAACTGCGGTATGGTATCGCAGTGGACTAGCAGTTTAAAATTGACTCGTACAACCTTGAAAGCGACGTTAAAACCCATTTCACCTGACCTCATACTGGCCTTAGCATAGGTCGAAGGTTTTTGCTATAACTGTATTGCTTCAGACGAATTCATTCTTGCATCCTTGACTTCTAGTTATCAAACTTGTCAATTTGTCCAATGAAATTTATATCCCATTTAAACTAGAAAAATGTCCGGAATGTTTTAAAATAATATCTATATATTGTTCCTGCAAGGAGTGTGTCCTTGTAAAAAAATGGATTTATTTTCCCGGATTAAAACGTCGGTTCTTACGGAGTCATTACTTCAGTCCAGGAAGTCACGTTATCCTGCTGTCAGCATTTTTGTGACGTAATTCTATGGAAGCTGACATGCACTTAGGGGGCATTTCAAAAGTTCCGCTCTGGAAAAAACTTATTTTTAAAGATTTGTGACATTCGCTCCAAAACGTAATTGTGGAAATGCTGACATCTTCAAGGTTTCAATTCGAAAAACAAGCAACCCTCGTACCAAGGCATGGATTTTATAGAAATTAGTTGCTGAACAGCACGGAACGCCAAAAAACATAGGAGTTTTTGAACCGACGCAATCATTCTGGTATTTCAAACTGCATTTTCATCCATTTACGCTGAGATGAGGTGAAATGGGGTTCAACGTCGCGTTCAAGATTGTCACGCTCAAGACTGTCACGCTTAGGTAACTTGCATGCACGTGTGTGTGTGGTTGCCAGTACTTATACCGGTCTTATTGTGCCAGGATACCGTGCGCAGTTCAACAGTGATACTTAATTCAGACACAGTACACAGACTCCGAAGTGACCAGTCATTTTACCCCCTTCAATGTCGAACGCCAAGCAGGGTAACAACAAGTACCATCTTTTAACGTCTTTTGGTATGAATCGGCCGGGAATCGAACCACCGACCTTCCGCTCTTGAGGCAGATGCTCTATCCGCTAGACCTCGAAGACGGTCCCATTTGTGTTTAAGATATTTAGAGGTGAGGTGAGGTGAAATGGGTTTTAACGTCGCGTCCAAGATTATTGCACTTATATAGCGACGTGCATGCACGTGTATATGTGGCTGCTTGTACTACTCCGGACTGATGCCGATTTATAGTGCTAGCACACTGAGATACCATGCCGCAGTTTAACATGAATATCCCACTCAGACACAGTATACTGACTCTGAGCCGACCAGTCCTTGTTTTAGCCCCTTAATGCCGAGCGCCAGACAGGGTAACAACAAGTACCATCTTTTAACGTCTTTTGGTATGAATCGACCGGGAATCGAACCACCGACCTTCCGCTCTTCAGGCAGATGCTCTATCCGCTAGGCCTCGAAGACGGTCCCATTTGTGTTTAAGGTATTTAGAAAAGGAAATACCATAAATAATAAATGTTTGCAGAGTAAATCGTCATTACCGTCATTCTTGTGGATGCAAACAGATAAAACAGATGTTTATGACTGCGAAAACGTATACCTACCACCTCTCACAATCTGTTTTATTAATTCTACTTAACATACGCTGTATTGTACTTTATAGTGTAAAATTAGTAATGTCGCTCCATATATATAGTGTATTATTTTGTTGGTTCGGTAATTGTAACTGCATTTGTGCTGCATATTTTGTGAAAAGGGAAGTGTCGTGTATTGTTTGTTTGTTTGTTGTTTAACGCCGCGCTGTAAGCCGAAGGTCTGTAAATAATCGAGTCTTGACCAGACAATCCAGTGATTCTCATCATGAACATCGATCCACGCAATTAGGATACGATGACATGCATCAACCAAGTCAGCGAGTCTGACCACCGGAGTCGCCTCTTGCTTGGTTGCTGAAAAACTATTCAAACCCGGATCTTCACGGGTCGGAAGAGTCAAGTAAAGAGGGGGGCGGTTGTGGTTTGATGGCGAGGTAGTAGGGATTTGTTGGAGACAAATTTCAGTACCTCAAGACATACACAAATCCTTTGAAAGGGAGCCACGAACAATCTTCTTGGACTCAAGAATCCCAAATGGTCGGGCCTCAGTGAGTTCATTTTTACCCAATCCAATTCACGTGTTCACGTCAATTAGAAAATCACAACCTAATTCCTACATGAAGGCGAAATTGTGTCTGCCGTGGGCTGCGAAATGCACGGAGTTTCGGAAGTCTCAGTCTCAAAAGGCGTCACGTGGGAACAGCATTTTTAATAGTCTCCTCATCCAACCCCTGGTGTCACCATGTGGTATTCTTAATTAGTGGTTCCCATGAAGTGCCACAGCCGTCAGATATACACAATGTCGGTCTGTTGCGGTAGTGTCTTTGCTGTCAGTTTAAAAGACGGTCGAGTCAACTCCATTGAAGTTCAATGTCATGTCATGCGTCACTAACGACAAATCATTGTTATTTGTGAAGTGGTGTTTCCAAATTATGCCTCTTTTCTCCCAGGTCTCTTCTATGTATTCTGTGATTTTCAGCATATAGTTAAGGTACACGTAATGTGTTGTTTTCTCAAAAGGCATGAAATGTGTTTGTGATTATTTTTTTTATCTCTTTGACCCAACAAGTAACATATCTTAATGTTTATTTATTGAGACTGGTGGCCAGAGACCTATATTTTCATAGGGTAAAAGAACATTTTCCTTTCATGTTGGTTTGCTTGTATAAAGCTGCACTGATATTCAAGATTGTCGCACATATATGTGCATTCACGTGTGTGTGTGTGTGTGTGTGTGTGTATGTGTGTGTGTGTGTGTTTGTGTGTGTGAGAGAGAGAGAGAGAATGTGTGTGTGTGTGTGTGAGAGAGAGAGAGAGAGAGAGAGAGAGAGAGAGAGAGAGAGCCTGCTTGTACTACTTTATAGTGCTATCCCACTGAGATACCATGCCGCAGCTAAACATGATTACCCCACACAGACACAGTAAACTGACTCCGAGCCGATCAGTCCTTCTCTCAGACCGTTAATGCCGAGCGCCCAGCTGGGTAACAACAAGTACCATCTTTAATTGTCTTTTGGTAAGACGTGTCCGGGGATTGAACCCCGAACCTTCCGCAGACGCTCTACCACTAGACCATGCAGGCGGTCTTGTTAAACAGCATGGTAAACGTACATACCAATGTTTTCGTGTATTTTATCGTTTCTTGTAGACATTAGCATACAAAGCAGGTGCCGGGGTGGGTAGTCTGTTAATTTCCAGGGAATGTCATTATTTATCAGTTAATATAATTGTGACTTTTGCATCAAGCATTGATTTAATCTATTTCGCTCTTTAGAGTATTAACTGTACAAATATTTCGTCTTGATACATTTACTTTCATAAACCCTAAACAAATATTATCGGCAGTGGTTATGGGCAACGGACATATATATAAGGACCTGTTCCTAACATTCACTTTGATTCCCCAACATGGGTACAATGTGTGGACGCTTTGGGGTAGTCTTGTGGCTAAAGCTGTCGCTCGTCACGCCTAAGTCCGGGTTCGATTCCCCTACATAGATACAATGCGTGAAGCCCCTTTCTGGTGTCCCCCGCAGTGATATTGCTGGAATATTGCTTAAAAACGGCGTAAAACCCTACTCACTCATTTACAATGTGTGAAGCCCATGTTTGGTGTCCCCCGCCGTGATATTTCACTCATTACGTTTACTGGAGGTAATGTTCGCATATTTATAAGAAGTGATCAAATAGAACGTATTTGTATGTACAGGGTGGCTTACTGGAAACAATCCATTGCTCTCTGGCGCCCTAAAACCTTATATCTTCTCGAGGCAAGGGAGTTAACTGACTGTAAAAGTCCAGTTTCCACCCTTGCCGAACTAGGATGGAATTTCCAGGCTCGATCGTAGCACCACCAGTGGCTATTACGAGTTATGTCCCTTCTATGTTCCTCCTATTGACCAATCAGATTCCACCTCTCATATCACGGCGGCGCTCAGTCAAGACGATCTGCTCGATAGTCAAGGTCTGTATTGTGATAAAACGGCTCTTACCTCGCGAAGTGCATCAAATTATGTGAGCACCTTCATTTAAAAAAATGAAAGAATTTGCAAAATATCTGTCGACGCCCAGTTGGCGATACACATGCTTTGCAGATCCTGCAGTCGACTGAAATTTGCACTTTGAATTTTTACGAACCGGATGTCTCGTTCGTTGCGCTATTTTGATTGGACTATGCATAGACTCGTTAGAACAGCCAAAATGTAACTCCATAATTGCAGCCTAGTTCGGCAAGGGTGGAAACTGGACTTTTACAGTCAGTTAACTCCCTTGCCTCGGGAAGACACCCATACAGAGTAGACTTCTTGTGTTTCATCTCTCGGTTCCATCCAGACGAAAACCTGGGCCTGAACTGAGTGAGTTAGTGAGTGAGTTGGGTTTAACGCCGCTTTTAACAGTATTCCAGTTATATCGCGGCGTGTCAGCTTAATGTGGGAGGAAAGCCCGAAGTGATGCAGGTCTCAGACGTTTACCACTTCGGTGAAACCCACGAGCACGGGTATGGTGCTGACAAACCTAGAAACACAATCGGGGCGAACCGGGATTCGAACCCACAATCATAGGTTTCTGGCGTGCCCAAGGGACGCAACTCTGCACAGCGAATCGCGGCGCCTTAGACGACTGGGCCACCCGTGCCCCCTACCTGGGCCTGAACTGAACAGTGTGATGATAGGGTACATTGACGGTTTGCTATGGTGATCATGCGAGAGTTATATTGAATTTCTCTTTATCAGATAATGTCATTCTTAAAATAATCGAATTTTCTGGCACTGAAATAACGTCTGCGTATGAATACAGATAGTGAGTTAGTCGGTGATGAGGTGAAATGAGTCTCAACGTCGCGTTCAAGATTCGACACACGGGTGACTGCAATCTTTGTCAATCGCGTTTTAAATACTACATCTGCACGTACGTTCCTGTCAGTCAGCGCTGGTAATGTTCGTACTCTGCAGATGCTGCTAATTATGGTCGCTCGCAGGCACATCACTGCCGATCCTCAGTCGGACTGTAACCATGTGATCAGAACTCAATGATTACAATACACTATAGTCACAATACACTATTGTCCCAATACACTATAGTCACCAATACACTATAGTCACCAAAACACTATTGTCACCAATACACTATAGTCACCAATACACTATAGTCACCAATACACTATAGTCACCAATACACTATTGTCACCAATACACTATAGTCACCAATACACAATTCTCACAATACATTATAGTCACAAATACACTATTGTCACCAGTACACTATAGGCACCAATACACTATAGTCACCAATACACTATTGTCACAATACACTATAGTCACCAATACACTATAGTTACCAACACACGATAGTCAAAATACACTATTGTCACAATAGACTATAGTCACCAATACACTATAGTCACCAATACACTATTGTCACAATACACTATAGTCACCAATACACTATAGTTACCAACACACGATAGTCAAAATACACTATTGTCACCCATACACTAAAGTCACCAATTCACTTTTGACACCAATACACTATTGTCACCAAGACACTATAGTCACCAATACACTATAGTCATCAATACACTATTGTCACCAAGACACTATAGTCACCAATACACTATAGTCATCAATACAATATTGACACCAATACACTACAGTCACCAATACACTATTGTCACCAATACACTATAGTCACAATACACCATGTCTCCAATTCATTAGGACCATCGTCTCGAGGCAAGAGCATTAACTGACTTTAAAAGACCAGTTTCCACCCTTGCCGATCTAGGCTGGAATAAGGGAGTGTTATTTTGGCTGGACAAACGAGTCCATGCATAATCTAGTGAAAAACGCGTAAGGAACTGGACATCCTTTTTGCATGTCCGATTGCAGGATTTGCAAAGCATGTGTACCGCCAGTTTGGCGTCAACAGATATTTCCCAAATCTTTTCATGTTCTTAATCAAGGAACACAAATTGATGCACGGCGCTAGGTAAGACCCATTATATTATATTTGTTTGCAGCAAATGCAAGTGATATGAGAGGTGGAATCTGATTGGTCAAAAGGCGGGACATAAAAGGGGCATAACTCGTAATAGCCAGTCCGTGTGCGAGATACGCTAAAGTGTAATTTATTACATGCGGAAAGCGCACGTTAAATCCCCGAAAATTCAATCCAATCCAATAGCCAGTGGTGGCGCTACAATCGAGCCTAGAAATTCCAGCCCAGTTCGGCAAGGGTGGAAACTGGACTTTTAAAGTCAGTTAACTCCCTTGCCTGGGGAAGATGTCCGCGACCAGCCTTGCCCAACCGCATGACCACGCCAAGCCACGCACGTTGTCTCAGGCAATTAAATAAAGCTATAAGTTACCATGTATCGTTTACGCCTTTTAACGAAAATAGGTTTTGCTTATCTGCCCAGAATCGATATAAACGACAATCAGTGTTGAAAGTTCGAAATGCAAGCGACAAATACGTCAAGTTTAAGAGATATTTGATCTGTCGATTTCATTTAATTGTGATTAATGAAAGGCAAAAGATGTGGAACACAGAAACATAGAGTTGAAGGCTAGACGCGGTCAAATCGCGAGAACACAATTACTCAGTTTTACGGGGTGTCAACTTAAATAGGTATCTGATACACACGAAAACCTTTGCCCTACTATAGACACTGAGGGAACCACATCGATTATCAAGAGTATGACATCTCCATTGCCGTGTGATATATAACTTAGACCCACTCGCCACCTTGGCATCCCGACTCGTATTGCACGGCACTTAAAATAACCGTCCAATCAAATTACTGTCCTGAGCGAGAGAAATTCTTGGAGGGGATGGAGGTGAAGACGTCCCTTCCACCAAGCTGTGGTGGCGGATGGTTAATGTATAAAATACAATAGAAAAGAGACACCATACAATTAATATATTTACGAAAATTCAAGAAACATATATGATGTTTACCGTCAGTTCAAGTAATTGCTTGACCCAGAATCATATTTGTCAAACATATGGTACAGAAATTTTCGTTACATCAGTAGAGTGTGGGTGAGTGAGTTTGAATTTACGCCGCTTTTAGCAAAATTCCAGCAATATCACGTCGGGGGACACAAGAAATGGGTTTGACACATCGTACCCATGTCGGGAATCGAACCCGGGTCTCCGGCGTGACGAGCGAACGCTTTAACCACTAAGCTACCCGACCTCCCCCGTTACATCAGTAGACTTGGCCTAAATTATCTAAACATTATCATTTGTTGTTTAACGCCGCACTCAGCAATATTCCAGCTATATGTCTGCGTTCTGTAAATAATCGAGTCTGAGTGAGTGAGTGAGTGAGTGAGTGAGTGAGTGAGTGAGTGAGTGAGTGAGGTTTTACGCCGCTTTTAGCAATATTCCAGCAATATCACGGCGGGGGACACCAGAAATGGGCTTCACACATTGTGCACATGTCGGGAATCGAACCCGGGTCTTCGGCGTGACGAGCGAACGCTTTAACCACTAGGCTACCCGACCGCCCCTAATCGAGTCTGAACCAGACAATCCAGTTGTAGACATCATGAACATCGATCTACGCAATTGGGATCAATAGCAATTACGCAATTTCATCAACCAAGTCAGCGAGACAAACAAACAACAAATCATACCATAATCACACACGCTAGGTGGTACTCTTCAACGGGGTCCCAAAGGGTGATTTTTTTTGTTTGTTTAGGCAATACGTTTTGATCTTACCTGAAACGTCTTGTCTAATGCAGGTAAGGGCAGCTTGGCACAATGAACTTTAGCGAGCTCTTCAACTGACGTCACTGGGTAAGAAAAGAAGTGTGATCACATAACAGTGTTTACGTAATAGTGTTGTTGTTGGTTTGTTGTTTAACGCTGCACTCAGCAATATTCCAGCTATATGACGGAGGTCTGTAAATAATCGAGTCTGGACCAGACAATCCAGTGATTGATATCATGAGCATCGATCCACGCGATTGGGATTGATGACATGCTTCAACCAGGTCAGCGAGCCTGACCACCCGATCCCGTTAGTCGCCACTTACGACAAGCATAGTCGTCTTTTACGGTAAGTATGGGTTGCTGGAGACCCATTCTACCCCGGATCTTCACGGGTCGTAATAGTGAGTGAAGTGAATGTTGTTTTACGCAGCAGTTATACATGATGGCATTAAAATGAAGTGAATGAAAACCAGTGGTTGATAGCGAAAGAGACGACTCATACCGCCGTGTAAGATGACACACAATCGGCCAGACCACACATTGTACCATGCGATCCACATTAGTCGAATCATTCGATCATATTTACATTGTCTTGAGTGGTCTGAACAAGTTGTATTTGTTTGTTGTATACGCCGCACTCCAGCTATTATGACGGTGGTCAGAAAATAATCGAGTCTGGACCAGACAATCCAGTGATTGACGTAATGTCCATACATCCACGCAATTGAGATACAATGACATGCATCAACCAGGTCAGCGAGCCTGACCACCCGATCCCGTTAGTCGCTGTTTGGTTGATGCATATCATCGATCATCTTCCCGAGGCAAGAGAGTTAACTGACTGTATATAGTCAGTTAACTCACTTGCCTCGGGAAGATGGTCATCTATCCCAATTGCGTAGATCGATGCTCATGATATCAATCACTGGATTGTCTGGTCCAGACTCGATTATTTACAGACCGCCGTCATATAGCTGGAATATTGCTGAGTGCGGCGTTAAACAACAAACCAACCAACCACCGATCTGCAATTCTGGTCGGAAGCATCTTTCCCTGAATTACGGGGCGATATAACCTTCTGATTACTCGACCGGAAATGAGACGGAAAATCAGTTATAAGCACTGACATTTTGAAATTAAACAAACATAAAAAAATACACTTTCTGAAAGATTCTAATGAAGCTTGGAAGAGGATATTTAAACAAACTCAAAGCCATTGGAAAGGAGCACAATTGTACGAAGGTGTCTGTGACCGGTTGAATGTCATCCAATCGGAAATATAAACTCGGCTCCGTCCCTACACCACTCAACTGTTTGAAATCATTTCCGGATCTCCTGTGGCTGATACAAACTTGCTCGTTAACTGCTAATGGAGACTTGAAATTGTCAAAGGCATCTCTTTTCGCTAAAAGTTTGACACACAGATTATTTCAGGCCATCGATATCATGGATCTCTCCTGGTAATAATCCACAATCCTCCGTCACTTGACTAAATACTGATCTGAACAACCGGTACTCACAGAATTCTTTTCTCCGTGGTCGGTTCTGTCTGGCCGACAGGCCGTTGTTGCTGCTGTCGTTGTTGGGTGACGAGGTTGTACCCGACAACAATGGCGTCTTTGATGATGCATCAGGATCCTGTGTCAAAAAGTGAGATATGAAGGTTGGTTGGTTGGTTGGTTGTTTTACGCCGCACTCAGCAATATTCCAGCTATATGACGGCGGTCTGTAAATAATCGAGTCGGGACCAGACAATCCAGTGATTAATATCATGAGCATCGATCCACGCACTTGGGATCGATGACATGCATCAACCAAGTCAGCGAGCCTGACCACCCGATCCCGTTGGTCGCCTTTTATGACAAGCATAGTCGCCTTGTTTTACGGCAAGCATGGGTTGCTGAAGACATAACGAGCGAGGGACATCCGAGGGATGTATCTCCGTGTACATCTGGATTGTGGTCTCTTTGTTGATGAATACGTACACTATCGACACTATCTAACGATCCAATCGAAATGAACCAGGGCAAGATAACGATATCTCTTTCGCTTAATGATCAGTTTGACATTTTACATAATACGAAGGGACTTTAATCTCATATGAATAGCGTTGGTTCGTCATACCAAAGACCAACCCCTACCCCACAATGGCCATGAATAATAGATGCGCATTTAACTGATCGTACTCTGGCCTTGTTTTTACGACGGTCGGCAAAAGCAGGTCAAACTGGGACTTCGTCATATTTTACGCCCTCTTCATTGGCTTGCTCTGTGCCAAGTCGTCGCTGAGCAGTCATTCTCTTGAGTGAGTGAGTGAGTGAGTTGGGTTTAACGCCGCTTTTAACAATATTCCGGTTATATCGCGGCGTGTCAGCTTAATGTGGGAGGAAAGCCCGAAGTGATGCAGGTCTCAGACGTTAACCACTTCGGTGAAACCCACGAGCACGGGTATGGTGCTGACAAACCCTAGAAACATAATCGGGGCGAACCGGGATTCGAAGCCACAATCCAAGGGACGCAACTCTGCACAGCGAATCGCGGCGCCTTAGACGACTGGGCCACCCGTGCCCCCTTCATTCTCTCGAACAGCATCGCCGCTCTCCGTAACAAAATGCAACCAATAAACTCATGGGGGCGACTGTGCCGATTTTAAGTGTAAGCAAAAATATTTTTACGAGGGCCCGCTGGGGATATTTGGGGGCACGCTTTCCCAGAAATTATTAAAAATTAGATGCTCTCTAACGCTATTTCCTGAATTTTTGGACCGTTTATGTTAGATCTTATTTGTAACAGATACTGGTTATGTTTTATTTTATTTTTGTATTAGTAATATATATACGCGTTTCACACATTTTCGACTTTCATTCAAGAAACATCTATGTTTACAAATAAAATTTGAACCCTACAACGAATCGATAATATTACTTTTAGGTGGTTTTAGGTGTTCATTCGTAGCATGTGATGGTTATTTATCATTTCATATTTTAACGCGAGCCGACCTATCATGCGTGGCATGCTTACGTCACAAACCATCTACCACTAGAATACTGAAGTGCTTACGGATTACGATTTTCAAGTAAGACAATAAATATCATGATGAACCGTGTAGAGTTTGAATTAATAATCTACTGCATAGATTGTAAATTGGGGTTTACTTATAAGAATAATAACATGTGATTATTTTATAGTGTGAGTAATTGCGTTTCTGCTACAAAGGTGGTTTCGCCCCTAAATCTTGATATTGAGTGAGTGAGTTGGGTTTAACGCTGCTTTTAATAGTATTCCAGTTATATCATGGCGTGTCAGCTTAATGTAGGAGGAAATCAAATGAAGTAAACTTGAACATATAACAAGATAACTTTGATCCAAATGATCAACACGGCGAGAGGAAATTGTGTAGCATACCAACCTACTGATGCAATTAGCAATACTGTCAGAAGGTGAATCAAATTGTAATTCGCATGCGGTATCTTCAGAATCAGGAATGAGAACCTGGCACATTTGAGTTTAAATACATATGTAATATAACAAGTATTTGTCACAAAGTGACGAAATGTCCCCCGCCTGTATATACACCATAGTACCAAATATGAAGACAATCCAGCGATTAGTTCTTGAGATATTGCGGCAACACCGTTTTCCAACTCCAAAAGCAGATTTGCCTGCTGTGACCTTGAAAATGAGGTCAAGGTCACCAAAACCGACTGGTGTCTGCGATGTCTGTATTTACACCATAGTTCCAAATATGAAGACAATCCAGCGATTAGTTCTTGAGATATCGCGGCAACACCGTTTTCCAACTCCAAAAGCAGATTTGCCTGCCGTGACCTTGAAAATGGGACCAAGGTCACCAAAACCGACTGGTGTCTGCGGTGTCTGTATATACACCATAGTTCCAAATATGAAGACAATCCAGTGTTTAGTTCTTGAGATATCGCGGCAACACCGTTTTCCAACTCCAAAAGCAGATTTGCCTGCTGTGACCTTGAAAATGGGGTCAAGGTCACCAAAACCGACTGGTGTCTGCGAAGTCTGTATATACACCATAGTTCCAAATATGAAGACAATCCAGTGTTTAGTTCTTGAGATATCGCGGCAACAAACAGGTGGGACGAACGGACGGACGGTCGTGAATACGATATCCCCCGCTCCGCGCATTCGCGCGGCGGGGGACAAAAATCGAAAAGAAACATATCATGAAAACAAAATAATGTGTTTTCAAAACAATGACGTCCTGAATAATTGGTTTTGTTTTCGAGGAACAAGCGGTATTCAGTTGGGTCAATCATAGTGGTGTACACAATAAAGTTTGAAATTTTAACTGAAGGGAATGGAATAAAAACTCGTTTGTTGGCGCATCACATGTCAGCAACATATGCTGCATTGTCCAGAAGTGATCGAACAGTTATGGCAGTGACAAAATGGCTGGGCAGAATGGCATAACAATTGTTTTATATGTCTGCAGGGGAAAGGTTATTGATATTTCTTCATAATTAATATTTTCAAATTAATAGTTGCATTGTTGTAATAATATTTTGCAACGGAAAAAGAGACACGCATATATTGTTAAAAGTCAAACCCACAGAAAAATAATATAGAAAAAAAGATTCGTATAGAAATAATATGACACCCTTCAAAACATATAGACTATATGTATAGGGGGATGCGATCTTTTTTTCTATAAAACTATATTATGCAATACCCGCTGTCATCGAGTTCCTGTGTGCTTAGCGTACAGTATGTGTACTCCTGTATCATGACACCTCAATTATTCACGCTGTACAAAAGTGCTCATACCTCCCTCGCACTGAAAGGCTTATTCGGCCGTATTGCTCTGATTTAAGAAAGCGCGTTTGTTTACAAAATTAATAAGAAAAAAGTCCGATCAGTGATATACGAGAAAGAAGTTCGGTCACGTGATATGCATGTTTACTGTAATGGTGTAACGCTTAGTCACTGCGCCGGTCGCGTCGGCCCTCACAACCACGAGTACTTGAAATCCATTCTAGACAGGTGAGGTGAGGTGAGGTGATGTGAGGTGAGGTGAGGTGAAATTGGGTTGAACGTCGCGTCCAGGATTATTGCACTTATATAGCGACGTGCACACGTGTGTGTGTGGCTGCTTGTCCTGGTCCGGACTAATGCCGATTTATAGTGCCAACTCACTGAGATACCATGCCGCAGTTTAACATGAATACCCCACTCAGAGACAGTATACTGACTCCGAGCCGACCAGTCCTTGTTTTAGTCCCTTTATGCCGAGCGCCAGACAGGGTAACAAGAAGTACCATCTTTTAACGTATTTTGGTATGACGCGGTCGGGGATCGAACCCCGGATCTTCCGCTCTCCGGGCTGACGCTCTACCACTAGACCACGGAGGCGGTCTCATTCTAGACAGGATTCCCTGCGATTACAATGTTGTCAATAAATATTTGTCCTGTTTTAATTGAAGTTTTGCTATTCTAGACAACATTAATCTACCTTAAAAGAAACAATTTACCAAAGCAATGCCAGATGCGTATAACAGTAACGCCCTGTCATTTCTGCTCCTATATCTATCAATATTCTTATATGATCATGAACATTGTTTATCAAGTGGTTTAAACGTGAAATTATTCAGCTAAAAGTGAGTGAGTGAGTGAGTTGGGTTTACCACTTCGGTGAAACCCACGACACGTGTATGGTGCTGACAAACCTAGAAACATAAAATGGGCGAACCGGGATTCGAACCCACAATCATAGGTTTCTTGTGTGCCCAAAGGGACGCAACTATGCACAGCGAATCGCGGCGCCTTAGACGACTGGGCCCCCCATTCAGCTATAAAAGCATATGGAATACGATTTCAAATATTACGTGAATGTTATTACATTTCATGATCACCGTGTGTCAAATACATCAAGGATGGGTTAAAAACTGGACAGTTCCACTGAAAAAAATTCACAAGGCCAGACTACTCTGATTTCAGAATATGCGGGTTTGTTTACAAACAACATAAAAGTTTGATAGCGTGATATGCAAATCAGCTTGTGGCAGTGGCGTAATGCTGAGTCATCACTGCATTCACCGGAGTGTCATGTCGGCCCTTACAGCCACAGCACTTGACATCCATTATACGTAAACTGAATTCTTGTTGTCGATAAACATGCGTCTTGTTCTAATTTAATTGTGTGGTATTCCAAACAATATTAATTTAGCCGCGAACGTGAAATTCAAGGGTAAGGTAGGATTTGGGTAAGACACAATCTCAGTTAGTGAGTGAGTTGGGTTTAACGCCGCTTTTAACATTATTCCATCTATATCGCGGCGTGTCAGCTTAATGTGGAAGGAAAGCCCGAAGTGATGCAGATCTCCACATCGGTAAAACCCACGAGCACGGGTATGGTTCTGACAAACCTAGAAACATAATTGGGGCGAACCGGGATTCAAACCCACCATCATAGGTTTTTGGCGTGCCCAAGGGACGCATCTCTGCACAGCAAATCGCGGCGCCTTAGGCGACTGGGCCACGCACTTAATGTCGAGCGCCAGGCAGGATAACAACAATTATCATATAATGGGTAGGTTTCTCGGCAGGATAAAGCCAACGGATAAAAACGATATCTGTTGGGGTCATATGCGGATAGAGATGCAAATATC